CGAGTGTTTTGACGGTCAAAAGAGAATGTCATCGAAACTTGAACGTCACTATCACCCATTCATAGAATTTGACATTTCGATGAACGTACATTTTCAGAACCTGGAACATAAAAGCAGACATGTCAGAAAAAGCACGAATTTAAATTTTCTTTTAGTTGCTAAGTAACAATTGAGATGGTTCATTTAATATTGAATATGCACATTTAATATTTTTAATATCGCGTATCGAATCGAGTCTTCCATGACAATGCACCAAAAAACATTATGTATCAATGGCTGTAACGAATCACTCAATTGCACTTCGATTGAATTACATTCAGAAGCGTGCACCATATGGTCAGCTTATCAACGCAACCAATTATTTCATTTGTGCTCATTTTCCAATATGTTTGGAACTGATAAATAAATCGATAAAGTCATCTTAGATAGAGTGGATAGAAGTGTGAATCTGATATATCCATGTCGCCCATCCCTCTCATTACCCAGTCTCTATCTTCTGGATATAATCCACCTTCAACCAACCGCCTCTGTTACACATTCCTCCATTAAATACTTCATCCCTCAATCCATCCATCTCACATGAATGTTTCTGTAACAAACTCCATTAAACCGATACTGTGATCACTTCAAACTTTGCTTTTCTTCAAAGCATTCGATATTATTCCATCTTCTTTTGTACATAATATCATATCGTTATTGTGCTCACTGTTGGTCAAATAAAACCGAATATTTTATGTGAGCATATTATAATTGCAATTCTTTAAATGGCCGAAAGTGCAGTTCAATTTCTGGAGAGACGCCGAAGTTCGGAGCAAAGCATTGGTAATTTCTATTAGAATTTATTATTCATTTATGGATTTTCTATAAATAGATGATCTTTATGAAGTGCTGCTTATGAAGAACTCATCAGAAATGTATTGCACTGGTCGTCTCGTCAACAGCAATTTGTCATGGATTTGCAACTTGATTATTTCATCGATTAATCAATTTAATGCAACATCCATTAAACATGCATCCGTCCTGTTCTATATATCTCAGTTTGAATGAATAATTCATAAATGATAACAAAAATTAACGATTATCAAGGCTAACTGGAAATGAGTAATCGATCAGCCAAGTCTATATGTACTCACCACTACCAACCAGTCTCTTTCACATCGATTTCATTCCGAAACCCCATCACTTGCTTTACATCATAGCAAATGCCTAGCTATCTGATATGTGTTCATGGATGAGCTATTTATGAACATAACGTCGTTTCTTAAGGCTCATTACAACCAGATTTATATCGCAGACGTGGATCTGTTATAACACATCAATCGATGGCTGGTCATGCTTCGGTGGCGCGAATTCAGTTGAAAATTTGCTATGATTTTGTGAAATCTGATTTTATTATTGCCCTTTTGCAAGGTGATTTATTTGTTCGTTCACTTTTTGTGGTAATTAAGGTTCTTAAGGTTCATTACAAGCAGATTTATGANAGTTGTGGTAATAACATGAATTGAAGTGAGTGAAATTGATGATTTGGAAGAATATTATTTTGTGATATCGATAAACGAGTCGAATCAACGAGAAACATCTCGAATGCGAGCCACAAGCCAATTCAATCCACAACTCTTCAAATTCGCCATCTGTCATGAAGATGTACTCGATCAGAGTCTTACAGTGCAACTGTTTGGCTCGAAAAGAATCGGTTTCTTTTATTGATCATCACTGTGATACAATTAGAATTGCCTACTCGATTCTATTCAACAATTTATGTCGTCTAAAGCTTTGATAAATGTTATTTTCAATAAGCAATGCAGACAGACGTCTACCATATTTGTAGAGTTAAGATAGATAAAAACTTTACGTATCCTCTAAACATATATTTGTGTTAGGGTAGAGCTGTAGAGGAGAGGATTTCACATGCATAGAGATAACAAATAAAGGTAATTGTTTTATTGCGGCGGATGAGGATCGAATTGAATTTGAGTGTAGGATCAATAAAGACTTGATGATGGGATTAGAATCGCATCAATTTCAATTATGTGTTGTAAGCACACATGAAACGCCGCTACTCGACAATCGATGTAACGTTCGTTCACATTCTATTGAACGAAAACATCAAATTGAATGAAGCAAAGCATATTTCATCCTATTCATTGAAGGTTCACCAGCAAATCTGATCGGTTGTTCTACTATAGAATTATCATCAATTGATCCGTCTGATGATATTTTCTTATGGATGACTATTGATGCGTATGAAACGGTTATTTCTTATTGTTATCATTAATATTATTACGCTCATTATTATTATCAGGCATTGTTGCTGATAAATATCTGATAACGTTTTCAATAGTTAAGTTAACCAATCTTGGTGAGATTCTAATTGGACTGCAATATCTATCATGTGCAGAACGCTTAACCGTGACAGTTTATGAAGCAAGAGGACTTAAATGCGATTCCATCCCAGGTCTGTCATTTCCATGTAGCGATTATTATCATTATTACGGTTAATTATAATTTTTACATTTGTGCTCTAAAAGACTGTGATGGTATTAAGATGGTTGTGTGCGCGTGAATCTACTTCAAGAAGGGAAGTTGCGTAAGAAACGGAAAACTGCAGTTCGGCGAGATGAATCACCGAGTTGGAATGAAGCATTCAGTTTCAATGTACCGCACGGCAGCATTGCAACGTAGTGCTTATTGACTGCATTGGATGATAATATCATAGAAGAATCATTTGCAACAAGATTCATGAGCACAATCCAATTTCAGATCGCAAATCGATTTGACACTGATCGATTATGATCGAATCGGCAATCATAAAATCATCGGAAAAGTGACTGATTCGTTCAATTATTCATTCTGTTCCTTGCGTTTATCACTCAGAGTTGAAACAATCGCTATTTAGGTGACTATCAACTGCGATGATGACCTGATGCAACAAGTTATTGCCGGTAAGAGTACCACTCCGCGATGGCTACAGTTGAAGGCAGCTTAATTATGATCAGTTATTGTCGATGCAGCTTTAGTCGTGCACTTGATCAGTTGAGGATGTGATAACCTGAATCAGTACTAGTCTTGATTCATTGAGATTTTTGCGAAAATAATAAAATGTTGTAAATATTGATGTGTGCAGAACACAGAATGCAATGCGATGAGGCATAAATGATCAACGATCAAACTGACCATAGAAAAACGAATGCAAATAGAGGTGCGGTGAAGTTGGCACATGCGGAAATAAGCATCGAGATGAATGAATGACGNACCCACTGTTGCGCATCCGATATACGTCACAATGCACTGAAGTTGTTGTTGTTTACTAATGCAATTCAAAATTTATATCTAATTCTCCATTCTAAACCCGATACATCTGTTTTGCACTAACTTTAAAAGTAGTCCTTTCAAAGCCAGCTGAAGAAAGTGTATCTTCCCTCCGTCTGAATACCATCAGTTCCGAACGGATTTCATTTAAAAATAACTGAAATGGAACTTAACCCTAGTTATCGATACTGTTGTTGCGCATAGAACCGCATCACTGTTGATCGCTGTGGACAGGTAGGATGTGCATATGAGGAAGGTTAAAAACGATTCCAACACAAAAACCTGCAGATGATGGGGATGATCGATGATTACAAACCGATAATATCTCTCTACTGATAATAAACATTACCTGAAAACGATTAAGAACAACTTCCTGATCGACCATTGACACACTAAAGTGATCAATGTAAAGCACATCATCCACCAGCAATCTCACTATAATTGCCCCAATGAAAGTACCAAAGAACTGCATAAATACAATGAATAATCCAATAATAAGACGACAATAACCAGATATCACTAGTGATAGTGTTATGGCTGCAATTACATCTATTACTACTACTGTATTAAGGATGTGTAATGAATGAAATTATTGAAATAATGTAAAAAGATATAACCTGGATTGAAATGTGCCCCAGAGAGACCACCAAACAGAATCATTAGTAGAAACGTGATAAAACCATCGTAAATTGACATCGATAATTGTTTATTACTGTTGCTTTTATTCACATTCGAAATCATTATAAATGAGCCTTTGAATGCACATTCTTTTAGTGATATAATATTGGTGTGTAATATCTGTTACTGAATAAATATGACTGAACTTACTCAAAACAATGAATAATAGTGAACCAAAAAATTCGGCTAGTGCTGGCTTTATGAAGGATTTAATGAGAGTGTTGCCATTTTCATTTTCATCTGATTTATGCTCATATCGATGGCTGTAAACACGATTGGTTAGATGGATTGCGATGCTACAAGAACGAATTGGATTGAAATGTGAATACACAATTGATGATTTGAAATGAAAGGACCTATCCGATGATATGTCCGACTTTATTTGAGCATTTCCAAATGATAGTTTCAGAACGTAGGGTACTATCGCCATCATTTCGTTGCATTCAATTCAACATCGATTCCAAAGATCCACTGAATGCAAACAATACAAGAGTGCTGATACATGCACATGTTTGGATTAATAATCGAAAGGTATAATGGATCAATTAAATAACTTTAGATCAAATATCGAATAATGAATATCTCTAATATTATCTTCTTACTGCATTCACAAACATCAGAGTGATTGAGCCTGATCTACTGCTATCAGTGAAACGATTGAAATCCATCTAAGTATTATTAATTAATCCAAATACAATTAAACATGCTAACAGAGAGGTGAGATTCGTAAAGCGCAATCAAGATCCTCATCTAATTCACAGCAAATCTCGGTCTGAATCGTGATTTGCGTTGTCATAGAGACGTTTCCAGATTTAATGTTCATTAACGTAACTATGTGTACATCTCTTTCAATTGACGTTTTAATTGTAACCGACAAACCATAAGTTGATTATCGTACGTTAAGTGATAGTGATATACTAAAAGGGTGTGATTTGCACGAGTGCACGCCAAGAATCTCATGTACTTTGTGACATACTTCTGCTTATCATAATCTCCTTTAATGCATTCTGTAAGCCATTTTAATACAACCTCATTCTTCAACAATCACTGTTGACACTCTCGCTATCCAATCTCCAAAGTTGATGCCAATCAAATTGCCACTTTCACTTCTACTAGCATATTGTTGCTATGGTTAACAACCTAAAGTAGTGGCAGCAAGAGAACCCTGTTCAGCTAACGATAAGTCAAAATTTTGCCACTATACATGAGATGAACGACTTTTGATCGCTCGGTCAAATCAATTTTCATATTAGTAAGGTTGTGTTCACAACATAGCATATGCATATGCAGCATGTTTGCAAAAACACTTCAAACTCGGGATTGCTTTTCAATACCGAGGTCCCGCAACTTTTGAACTGTAAAAGTATCACATGTTCAATGCACTCTTCTTGAACCAATCCGTTCATAATCAATCGGGAAACACTTTATTCAACAAATCATACAGGTAAT